GCATTTAAAGGCAACAAAGGCCCGTTGTTGTCCCTTTCTTGCTCAAAGTAGTGCATTAACGAGGCCACGAGTTCCTTACACCGACTATTTAACTGTTTGGGCATCTTTATATACCAAAATTGCCTTTATCTACTCGTAAAATGAATAATTTTGTTTTGAAACAAACACTTGTTGATTTACACTATGCGGGGCCAAAGGATTTATAAAGATTTGAAATGCCACAAATTGATTCAGTGTCAAAATTAATACAAATGTCAGTTCCCAGTTTAAATAAGTTTCAAGGTGACAATGTGTCAACGCTGCGAAATCGGTTCAGTGCGTTTACATGTCGATAAGTGATTGGAGCGTTTGCAAAACATTTTATTTCGCATAATGCGTCTAAATTTATCAGAAAGCAACTTATGTGATATTTTAATAACAATGTTTATATGACTATTAACCATAATAAGAGAGTTATGACCATTTTACAATTTATATATCACATTAATATGAAACTGCAATAGAGCAATTGTTTGTGATAGAAACCTAGGCATTAGGTCGGGGAATTTTTATCGTGATGACGTGCACGCCACTTTGTTTGGCGTTGACTATAGTATGAAATCGTTCAGAGCAGTGTCGGTGAATAACAATCCAAAGTATGTTTAGTAGAAGGCTAGCGTAGCCATAACAATGCAGGGACTATGACCAGGAACATCATCGTGATGAAACAGTACGTTGCCTTTAAACTTTCCCAGAGGGTTCTTTTTGCATAATTAGTCCCCGTAGCACTATATCGTGCGCTTATTTGATGTGTTGGTCAACCCATATATGGACCTCGGCGACATAAACTTTGCGAGGCCCCTTTTGGCTCAGCGTGATTCCCAAAGTCATAATCAACCTTAGCTCTGAGAAGCTTTTCTGAATAGAAGCTGCACTATCCAGAACTGTAAACAGATTGTTATGAAATCATTTGGATATACTTCTTCCAAATTATTTTTGAAAATGTACTTGATAATTTATCTTCATCATTGATGTCTGGTAAACTAGAGTTTAAAAGCTGGGGTTATCGATATGGTTTGAAAGACTGTCTTCATTTTCACCTTTTCAAAGTATACTAAGTGACATATAAATCCGAACACCCAGTTTAAATGGTTTTATTTTAATAAAAGTTGGTGAATGTATTTATCTTACTGTAAATAACAAGTGAAAAAATTTTCTGCCTTATCAGTTGGACATTCCGGTTTTTATACTTCTTTTTTTTAATTCACTAACGCTCTAAAAATAAATATTTCAGCCGCAGTAAAGAATCAACGTTGGCGGATTTTGGTTCTTGACATCCTTTACGATCGGTTACGATGCCTAGAGTACGGAGACCTGTACGATTTCGTCAACTTAGTGAATTTGATAGGGGCCGTATAGTGGGACTTCGGGAAGCTGGACTTTCTTTTCGGGCAATTGCAGTTAGAGTGCAAAGAAGTGTAGACACTGTGGTTAGGTGTTGTCAGGCATGGCTTCGAGAAGGCCGTACGCAAAGAGCAAGCGGCACTGGACGCCGCCGTAGAACAACAGACCGTGAAGATCGCCGCCCAAGATTATTGGCCTCAAGGGACCGTTTCTTCACTACCAGGTCCATTGCAAATGAATGGTTTGCAGAACACGGAAGACCTATTGGCATGCGAACTGTTTACCGACGAATGAGAAGTTTTGGCTTGTTTTCATACCGGCCACACTGGGTCCTCCCTTTAACTCGAGAACACCGACGTAATCGCCTTGAGTGGTGCAGACAACGGTCACTCTGGGATCAGGAATGGAACAGTATTGTCTTTAGTGAAGAGTCTCGATTTTGTTTAGGCATGCACGATGGTCGTGCCAGGGTTAGAAGGTGACGTGGTGAAAGGAGGAATCCACAGTTTTTTGTTGAAAGACATGTTTATCACACTGTTGGAGTTATGGTTTGGGGTGCTATAGCTTATGGTTCCAGGTCACCTTTAATCTTCATCAGAGGTAACATGAACGCGCAGCGTTATATCCACGAAGTTCTAGAACCCCATCTTTTACCCTATCTTGACACCCTGGCAGATCCAACTTTCCAACAAGATAATGCCCGACCACATGTTGCAAGAGTCACAATAGACTTTTTTCAACATAATGATGTCACATTGTTACCATGGCCACCAAGATCTCCCGACTTATCCCCAATTGAGCACGTGTGGGATACGATGGGTAGGAGATTGCTCAATTTGCAGCGTCCTCTTCAGACTCTAGAAGCACTTCTAGAGGAGTTGGTGGTTGCCTGGAATGAGATACCACAGGAGGACTTTGACCACCTGATCAGAAGCATGTCTAGGCGCGTTGGAGAATGCGTAGCACATCAGGGTGCATCCACACATTATTAAAGGTCAAAAAGCTTTAAAGCAGTGCAATCATTTTGAAATTTTTATCATTTACTTATTATGCTTCATTAAGTACTTATACAAAATTTTATTAAAATAAAACCATTTTAAACTGGATGTTCGGATTTATATGTCACTTAGTATATTACACCTAAATCGTTACAATGCTTGTCAAGCTTTCAAGAGTACATATTCTCTTGAAATTATGACGTTGATTCAACACCACAGATACTTGAAATGAGGTAATACTGATTCAAATAGAAATCTCACAGTTAGGGGGTGAATCTCAATTCATATGAGTATAATAATATTAATAAACGTCTTTTATTGAGGACGAAGCTTAGCTTGAAGCTATTCTGCCATAACTCTTGAACAGTACAAAAAAATTAAAATAACGATTATAAATAATTTTGGATACAATTAATGATTCGCAAAAGATTCTTATAGTTTGATAATCGAGATTTTGTTCATTTGGATATAACTGACGTAAAATCGGAAAGCAGTTCTTATTAATTTTGGGTGTGTGAATTTGAAACGCTCATCAAAAAGAATTCCCAAGTTCTTGTCTGTTTTATTAACATCGGTAGTAGCATCATCTAAACTAACATTGAAGTTGTTTTTAACCCAATTTCTGAAAGGTTTTGGTGAAAAAATAATCACTTTTGATTTTGAATGATGAGGTTATGATTTCTTCGATATTCATTATGTTTCCATTGATTTTATATTCAGCGATTTGAGTGTGGTTATAAATTTGAGTCATCAGCAAAAAATTGAACATTACAAGGTGAAACGAATGTGTGCAAGTTGGAGATATATAAATTAAATAATAATGGTCCGATTACAGAACCTTGGGGTGCTCAAGATGAAGTGGCACACTGAGGCGATACATCCATATCAATGGCAACTTTTCAATCTAATAAACCGCTCAATTCCTTCAAATCAATATAGACTGGTTTGATCTAGGAACACCTCTTCTAGAGCGTATGCAAATTTCTTATGGCCATTTTATGTTTTGACATTTTCACATAACATTAAACTTTCTTTAATATTTTGTGGATTCTAGATATGTTTGATTTCGATGTATGTTTGGATGGTTTTGGATTTGTATGTGTGCATAGTAGAGGAACTAAATTTTGTGTCAAACGAGGAGCAGCCTGCAACATAGGAAACTGAATGTTGACGATAAGCAGGACTCATAAAAGCCATTCTCTTCTGAAAAACGTATCGTTAATAACCACACAATGAACCACAAAAGGGTTACGGAATGGACTTTTACAGTCGCTGACCAAAAGCTCTTTATCTGCTAGCTGTACAAAACTCAAAAAAACGCATTTATTTATCCATAACCGATACAATGGACATCCGATAATCCGACAAACATTATGCAGGGCAGTGACGGACTATCGCATTTGTCGGATTATAGAGCACTGCCTAAGACCCCCTCTGTCGTGTGACAGCAGAACCTAGTAAGTCGACTTACTAGGTTTTACATTTTTACGTCATTTTTGAAAAGCCCGTAAAAAGTTCTACTAGTTGAATTTTTTTCTCTCGCTCAGACGCACTCTAAATCGTATATCTTTGTCTCATGTTTCCTAGTAAGTCATCAGAACAGCATTTAAAAAATCAACAAATGATGGCATGTCTACATGCTACGTTTCGAAGATTTTTTTGTAGGAAATTTGGCGGGAGACTCCGTCGTAAACGCACTTGCTAGTTTTTGCTAAATTTTCATGCCATGATTTCAAGCCGATTGAGTGTAGGCACGGATGCATGCTACAGCGTTTCCGCAGTCATGTTCCAACTGGCATAGAGTGTGGATCGGTGAGGACAGTCGCGAATTAGTTTAACGTTAGTACTGTAGTTAATATCCAGAATATGTCGAGAGGAAAATTCATAACGAGTTTATGCATTACAGAGAGGTGAGTGCAAGCATCATACATTACATATAAGCCAAATGAAATATTAACTCAGGAGTAACATTGCAGTTTGATGTTTTTTTTTCAGTAAAATAAAAGATTATAATTACTACAAACAAAAAGCTAATTCTTGCAATACGGTTTTCGTATTTGAAATATATATTCAAACCGCTGACCTCTATTTATTTTATCTTTCAGAAATGAACCTCTCGAAGAGCGTCAGCAACATGATGAAGAACCTATATCAGATTATGACGATTCTGATGCAGACCCAAATTATGAGCCGTCAGTATCCCCTAGAAGGAAAAAAATTAAATTTTCGGACTTTGATGACGTATCGCTTGCGCCCCTCAAAAACAGGCAGCCTTTGAAAAAAGTCAACGAGAATGTGAATGCAAACTGCAGAGTTTCCCAAGAAAGGCCAGACAAGCAAGAAAAGCACCCCCTACTGCTATCATGCCATAATAATTGCAGGCAGAAATGTAGCTCAAAAATCAATGATGAGAACTTTAGAGAATTGATAAGAACGAAATTCTGGAGACTCAGCTTTGGCGAGCGTAGACTTTTTTTGGATGCTCATATCAAATAATTTGAAATCAAAGTAAGGCCGTAAGAGGCTCAGCGCTCTTCCAGGAATGTTTCTCTGAAATATTTTCTACCCCTTCCCGTGGAAACTGAAGCTAAATTTGAAAAAATACAAGTGTGCAAAACAATGTTTTTGCATACTTTAGGACTTAAAACAGATGGTATGATAACTTGCCATATACATTCCAAAAAGCGAAGTGTAGAAGGAATTGCACAAACAGTGGATGAAAGGGGGTTAGTTATTAGAGGCATGCTAGAAGAACAAAAAATGAGAACAGAGGAAATTGTCATAAAGCATATAAACTCATTCAATCCGGTAGTATCTCACTATAATTTAAAGCACACCCCGAATAGACGATTCTTGCCACCTGACTTGACCATTAAATACATGTGGCAAGACTTCTGTAATCTACAGAAAATTTCATATGATCTATACAGAAGAATTTTTGAAAAACAGAATATTGGGTTTAAAAAGCCATCCCAAGACGAATGCGCTCAGTGTCTAAAACATAAAGTTCACATTATTCGCCAATGCGACGCAAGTAGTTGCAAGATTTGTTGTCAATTCGAAAACCACAAAAAAAGTTATACGGAAGCAAGACAGCACTATGAAAATGACTCCAATCAAGAGGTAATGCAAGATGAGAAGGTCTATGCTGTAGATATGCAGAAAGTCTTACTCTTGCCCAAAATGTCAACCAAGGAATCTTTTTTTGTTTCAAGGTACTTCGTTTATAATTATATATAATTGTATTAAACTTTTATATACTTCTATATTTGTTGTTGCAGGTTGGTCGTATTCAATGAGACGTTTGCGTCACTTCATAAGGACGGAAATATTTGCGTGATGTGGCATGAGGCTATAAGAGGCAGGTCCGCGACGGATGTTGCATCGGCATACTACAACGTAATAAAAAATTCAGACAATGTTACCAAAAAATTTACATTCTGGGTAGACAACTGTTCTGCTCAGAACAAGAATTGGACACTATATTCTGCTTTTGCGACTTTTGTAAATTGTGAATGGGGTCCAGAAGAGATCACCCTAAAATATTTTGAACCAGGCCATTCATTTATGGCTGCGGATTCGGTTCATGGCCGAATCAGCACAGAAATGAAAAAACACCCAAACATTTATGATTTTGAACAGCTTCTGAAAATAATTGAGCAGTCCTCAAAAAAAACTAAATGTTTGCCTATAAATAATTTTGATTTTTTCCTCTTTGAAGATGGAAGCAAACAAAGAAAAAGCAATAATATACCTCTTCTTGAAAAAATTAAGCTCGCTCAGTTTCGCAAAGGATGCAGACACTTGTTTTATAAAGAATGCCATAATGAAACTGTCTTTCAGGAAGTCGAGTTTTTGAAAAAAAAAGTTGATCTCAAATTCCCTATACATCCTTTTGTCGAGCCACTGGGATTGAACTCAGAAAAAAGAGAAACAATGTTAAAAAAATTGGTACCATCCTTCAAAGATGAAAGAAAGAAACTATTTTGGCAGTTTTTGCCATCTTATGATAATTCCAAAGACTTATGTGTGGTATCAGAGGCTTAGCGCTTAAGTTCTTGTTCTTCTTGTATGTAGACTTGCTGTTTTATGTTCCACCGTTTTTCATTCAAATGTTTATTTTCCAGTTAGTAAGTAGATATGTTACTTTTTGTGTTCACCTTCGCACATAAATTATATCAAATAAAACCTTAGTAAGTACACTTACAATATCTTTTTTTTTTATTTTCTCTAGTCGAAATTTTGTAAAAATCAGTAAGTTGACTTACCATTTTCTGCTAAAGTATCTTAATTTAATATCGAAAAAGAAACCATGAAAAAAAAAACGTTTTCTACCATAAACAAAACTATCACATGAATAAAATTGATGCTATCGAATTTAGCAAGTTACATAACCCTTCAGACAATTTTTTTAATATTCATAAAACTTAAACTTTTCGAAAGCCGAATGTTTATTGAAAATATGTTATTTCTCAAACCTGATAAAAAGTGACTTACTAGGTTCTGCTGTCACACGACAGCCCTATAGTCCGGAATGTTTTACAAAATAGTACCTTGTAATCCGACAAATTACATATCCAATGGTAAGATTACTTAATGTTATGTATATGTATGTACTTTGAAGTACAAATCATACATAGTTTATGTATGTCGAATTTAGTAAATTAAATAACAATAGAGAGCTTACGTTTTATTATAAAATTAAGCATAAATGCACATACATATGTACCAAAATAATCAAGACTTATTAATCAAAATCATTAATGAATTTACCAAATTATGAAGCTTGGAAATATTCATCAATTTTTGTTTGTTTAAGGTTGTTATAACGCGAGATCAGAGCTTTGTCCCTCAGTCTTCTTAAAAGTAAAAGTTCGTTGTAGGATGTACCATTCTCTTCAGCCCATTGTAAACCTAGCTCAAAGGCGTTAATTGCGTCTTGTGGTGTGACTTGTGGAGCAGTTGCAATCACGTCGTCTTTATTTTCCTGATTGTTTGTTGTACAGTTAGAAACCTCTTTTATAATCTCTTCGTCAGACATTTCATGAAAAACATTTTCCTCTTTATCCATTCCACGGCACCAGATTTCCAAATATTCCGGAATTATCTGTGTTTCAGTAGCGACTTGTTCTATAACTTCCGAAGTTACACTGATTTGTGGAACGTTGCTAGGAGTGGTGACTATATCTGGCCATAACTTTTTCCAAGACGGTTTAATAGTTGATGACGGTAACGCATTCCACGACTGACAAAGAGCAAAAACCAAGTCTTTCATATTAAATTCTTTTAAAGTTTTTTCTATTGGTTAGTCTTTTGATACGGCTCTCAGAAGTAGGTTTTCCTTATAGTCTTGCTTGACAAACTGAATGATATTCTGCTCCATTGGTTGACTCAGTGCAGTGCAATTTGGCGGAAGAAACATCGCAGTGATGCATTTATCCTCAGTTGTCAGTTCTTCTTCAGACGGATGACCGGGAGCGTTATCAAGAAGCAAGAACGCCTTTTCAGGAAAATTATGACCTTTTAACCATTTTCCAACTTCAGGTACGAAGCATTCATCAAACCACTTTTTGAAAAGGTCTTTTGTCATCCATGCACTTTTTTGTCAGTAATAGTGTACAGGTAAATCAATGTTTTTGAATGCCCGTGGTTTATTAAATTTCCCAATGACCATCATCTTAAGCGCGTGTGTGCCCGCAGCGTCAGCACATGGTAGTATGGTTACACGCTCTTTACTTACGTTTCGTCCAGGTATGGATTTTTCGTTACAAGAAACGAAGGTTTTGTTAGGCATCACACGCCAAAAAAGCCCTGATTCGTCTGCATTGTACACCTGTGACGGGTCAAGATTTAAATCGTTCACCTTTTGCAAAAATCTTAATTTAAAGGGCTCTATGCAGGTGGCATCGTTACAAAGTTTCTCTCCTGTAATAGTCATTAAACGTATGCCATGACGACTTTTAAAACGTTCTAACCATCCTTTGCTGGCCACAAAATCATCTTTTTTGTTATTTCCTTATAAAAAACTTAGCTTTCATGGCCAACATGGGTCCTAGAATTGGTGAATGCCTATTTCTTTCCTGAAGAAACCACATATACAAAGCTTCTTCCAGTTCTGGATGTTCAGCTTTCTTGAGTGTCTGTCTCTTGCCTGGCCCGCAGTCAGTAGTTGACACGAACTTCTTGATCTTCTCGTGGTTTCTTTTAATGTGATAAATTGTAGATCTACCTACGCCGTATTCACTTGCTAAACTACTGAAAGTTTCATTGCGATTTAAGCGGTCTAAAATATCACATTTTTCTTTCATTGTCAATGTTTTGTGCTTTCGCTTCTGAGTTTGTGATGACATTACTAGGTACTATACTTAATACACAATGAATAAATAGTAAACAATTAACGCACCGCTATCACAAGTAGTCAAATTCAAACTAAGTAAAACAATGCTTACGCGTCGAGCACGATAGCGGTGGCGCGTACAAGTTGTAACCTGTTCAAACCTGCGTGATCTACATTAGCGAAGATTGTCAAATACGTATGTATGTAATATTCAAAGACATGTCGGTTTACAGGAGGCGCCGGATTAGACAGGGCCGGATTATCGGGGGTCCATTGTATTTATCTCTTGCATACCTAAACAGAAATAATTAAAGTATCTGGGATTCCCCGAGTATCACGCGCGGTATAACTTTCTTCAAGCTGGCGGCTCTAGATTCCTTCTTTTTTTCCCCTAAAAAAAAAGATTTCATGACTTTCTTGCAAGCCACCTCTAGAGGCGAGGACGTCTAACGCCGCCACTGCGTCGTATAACAATATGAAGGTATCACAAATATTCAGCAGCAACTATTGCCTCAACTTCCGTAGCCGAAAATGTCACCTAATTAATTCAAACGATAAAAAATATTTACGCATTGTATCCTTATACAAAATTACGACAACAATCAAAGCAATAGAGGTATAAGAACAAAACTCAACGCCATATTGCAGGAGGCATGTATCCGGCATGTCTGCGAAACTTCCTTTCGAGATTTTTTTCTTCTGTTCCTTGCTTATTGTGATAATCGTGATTTGTTGTTAGAATAACAGTAGACGAGGTATTGCGAAATATTGGAAACAGGCGACGTCGTTGCTTTGGAACTTGCGGAAAGAATGTCATGAGATCGAAATGTTAACGGTGATTTGGTTTTTGTCAAAATGTGAAGTCGAACAGAATGGGAAATGTCGCGATATTCATAACTCGAAAAACGGTCCAAAAGGCAAGGAGAAAAAGATATATCTATCTATTTAGAGGAAAAAATATTTTTGGTATGGTCTCCAGGATAGTACTCCTTGTATTTTTACTTGATATTAAGAGAACGACTTTTATAACGGGTGATTTTTTAAGAGGTATAGGATTTGAAAACACAAACATTTTAAAAAACGATTAAATCTTTATTTGAGTCGATAGAACGGTCGATATAATTTAATGTTTGAAGATTATTTCATGTAAATGTTGGCCGCGGCTCCGCTTAAGATGGCCCATGCGCAAGGTCCAATTTTGGCACACTCTCTCCAACATATCTGCCGGTATCTCACGAATAAATGCTTCAATATTGGCGTCAATCGTTGCTGGTTTATCCCTGTAGACATTAGCCTTAACATGGCCCCACAAGAAATAGTCCAACGGCGTTAAATCACACGATCTAGGCGGCCAATTGACGGGCCCCAAACGTGAGATAAACTATTCACCGAACACGCCTCTCAATAGGGCCATTGTTTCGTGTGCGCTGTGGCATGTGGCACCGTCTTGTTGAAACCACATGTCAGCCAAGTCCAACTCTTCCATTTTGGGCAAAAAAAAGTTTGTTATCATCGCACGGTAGCGCTCGCCACTCACAGTTACGTTCCGGCCATTGTCGTCTTTGAAGAAGTACGGCCCGATTATGCCACCGGCCCATAATCCACACCAAACAGTGATTTTTTCGGGATGCATTGGTAGCTCTTGCAATGCTTCTGGCTGGTCTTCACTCCAGATGCGGCAATTTTGCTTGTTAACGTACCCATTCAACCAGAAATGAGCTTCGTCGCTGAACACAATTTTTCGATAAAAATGTGGATATTCCTTCAACTTTGCCAGCGCCCATTCACCAAATTGGAAACGTTGTGGCAGGTCGTGTGGCTTCAATTCTTGCACCAGCTGTATCTTGTAAGGTTTTACACCCAAATCCTGTCGCAAAATTTTTCACGTAGTGGAGTAACAGAGGCCCATTTGCTGCGAACGGCGGCGAATCGACATTTCACGGTCATCACTAACACTGGCGGATACAGCCGCAATATTTTCTTCAGTCCTCACTCTACGTCTGCGTGTTGGTGGTTTGATGCCCAATAATGTAAACTGGGTTCGAAATTTAGTCACAAGCTTCGGAATAGCTCCCTCAGTAGGCCGACCAAATTGCCCATAAATTGAAAGCAGTGCTCGATGCACACTCTTAACCGAGCATGAATTTTGATAGTAAAATTCAATAGTTTGCAAGCGTTGTTCGTTCGTAAGTCGATTCATGGTTAAATTATAGACCAAACTGAACAAGTTTGATAATGACACAAGACACGATTCACGCGTCATCTGTCAAAAACGGTGTTGCCAAAAAGATACTAGCAAAAAAATCGCCCAATATATGTGTATAGTCCATCTTCTTATCTATTTGCATTTACATAGAATATTTCATTCAAAAAAGATATTAATAATAATGAGTGTCTTACTCCCGGTTTTTCTTTAATTGTTATTCCACCAACGATTGTTCTTAGATCTTAAAAAGTAAAAGTTGCCATAAAATACAGATAATGAGTTATGTATAGTCACGTATTGTATTATTGTTTCCCACTGACTATTTTTAGTATTGAAATTGCCTACTATTTATCTTCATCAAAATGAAAAACGATCTTACACCTGACAGATACAGTACGTCCATAACCAATACGAAAACGCCATGGCGAATCTAAAGCAAACCCACCACCCCATTCAGTGATGTATTTCCTCAGTTGGCCATGAATTCGTTGATCGAAGGAAAAT